CGTCCGCTAATGCCATCAGGGTATCCAGGTTCTGGCACCTGTAGGGGCGGATAAACAGCCGTAGTGTCGGGGGTGCTGTTTTCTTTAATCCGTTCCAAGATCTCGTTCTTCTTCAAACCCAGGGGTCGCATCAATGTCTGCATGTCTACCATGTATGTAGTCCTTGAAGCTTTCGACGTAGTTTTGCTTCCTCTGCCTGACCTGATCTGCGAGTTTGTTCATAAATCCCTGGGCAAGAAGAACTCCTGGAAGCTCTGGCTAAATCCGCCCCAGGTCTCCCAGAACCTGTTGTTGGTGATGAACCATTTGAGAGCTCTGCCCTGAAGGAGTTCCGGCATCGCACTCGGAATTTGGTTAATGTCTAGCCCGTATGTCATGGCCGACCACTCCACTTGTTCGAGGAACTCCAGGGGCTTCTCATTCCCGTCGTAACGGAAACTCCACCCCCTTACTTGCTTTGCGATCTTGGCATAATCCTGTCCGGGTTTGCCATTCTCCGCTCGTTGTTCGCGGCTGTCGCTCTTCCTCTCCCTGCTGCTCTCCCGTCGGTCGCGGCTGCTGCTCCTGCTGGCGTTCTGCATGCTGCTCACGTCCAGGCTGCGCACCAGGCCCTCGGCTCCGGTGACTTTCAGGCCGACCGACGGGTACTTGGCGTAATCCCTTTCCAGGGCCGCCAGAATTGCCATCGCATCAGGATCATGCCCGGAATGGTCGATAAATTCGGCCAGTGTCCGCCTCATGTTCTCTACAAGGCCCTATAGCTCGATGCCTAGGGCGCTTGAGATTTCTGGGAAATCGTCCTTTTTCAGGTTATATAACCACGACTTCCCCATTCTAAATCTGTTTTCTGGTTTTCTTCGATCCGAGAATCACGCTTGGGCGCCAGATTTAACGAACTGCTTTTTATATCTTCGCTCGCTACGTAAACGTGCGGCTAGCTCAGTTGAGTTTATGTGTTCGTCCTACCAAATTTATTGTTGCGTGACCCCGAAACCAAAGAAGAACGCAGAAGTTAGGTTAGATTTTAGAATATGTGTGTTGGGTTTATTGCATGTAGATTTACAATAAAATATTCGACTTCTGGCTCCGCTCGCTGATGAATATAACGCCCTCGTTGACGCCGGTAGTTGCTCCCACGTCGACTTCTTCGGCGGCATGCCTGTCGTGCGTCCTCTGCCTTGCCGAGTCTTTCGGGCACCGGTCGTGTATTAGGCTCGCTACGAGTCTCTCACAACTTGGAGGATGTTAAGCAAAAAACCTTACTAGAGGGCTAAGCAGTGTTGCTGCAGTCAACTCTTTACGCTCCACCCTGGAGCGTGGTCGGTACTTCGTCGGGCTAAAAAGACAGGAAATATTAGACAAGTAGATGAGAAACACTTTGAGGAAACCAATAGAGGCAAGAAAATCACTCATTATAAGTCTAAATTCAAAAAGAAAAAGATAATTAATGAAAGTAAATACGATAATTCCAGATAAACCTCTATAAAATTATTATGTTTATGATCATACTAACCACTTCAATTCAAATGGCGAATGGACAAAGTATCGAAATTAATCCAATAAAAGCCCAAAAAGGATACTTGATGTTTAACAGGCACGATAGATATTCTAACTAATTATGAGAACCATTTTATAAGTATTTATATCACGGAAACAGAGAAAATCTTTGAAAAATTAATAGAAGAAGCAAATGAATTCAAAGTAATAATGCAGATAGAATACTTAGTGGGAAAACTCCAACGAGAAATTAATGGAATTAAAATCGCAAAACGTAGCAAAAGAGGGTTATTAAACATCGTAGGAACAACTTACAAATGCCTATTTGGAACATTGTATCAAGATGATAAAGAAGAGCTAGAACAGAAAATCGATACCCTAGCCGAGAATAGTATTCAAAGTAACGATTTAAATAAGATTATTGATGTCATAAATAATGGATTAGACTTAATCAACACATTTAGAGACGAGAAAGAGAAGGAACAACACGCTAACGTCCTAATATTTAACCTACGACACTTCACAGAATACATAGAGGACATTGAGTTAGGAATGCAATTAACAAGACTTGGAATTTTTAACCACAAACTATTAAAACACGATAAGACAGACAGCATTCGCCGCGGCATTATTAATTAAAATTCACTTCAATTCACTAAAACCACGAAAAACTTCACTTCACTTCACTTCAATTCACCAAAATCACAAATAACTTCAATTCACTTCAAAAAAATTGAGTTAATTGTCAGTGTGATGAGGTTATAACTCAGTTTATATGCGATTTTTGGTATGTCGAACGAAATAAAAAGTACCCTACGTCCTATTCCGGGCTCTAAGCTACCTTCCTACCAATTTTCAGCCAAATCTGTTCAGCCGTTCTTAAGTTATAAGTGGTTATATATATAGATACATAAAAGAAAGTCGTTGTAAAATCCGCAAGGTTTTTCACGGAATCGAAAACTCTATAAAACGGACTTGCGGTGTAGCAGCCTAGCTGGGGATTTCCCACGAAAAAAGACGCAAAGACGAAATCGGTATAAATGCAATTTATTGCGCGGGCGCAGCCATCAACGACGAGAGATTATGATCGACTGACTCACACAAGCAGTGCCAAATTCTTACGAGGTTACAACTTTCAATGCTTATAAGAGTAAGAGTAAGAGTAAACTACTTTACAAGCGAGACTTAAAGTACAAATAACTTCATATGACTTCTATGTTATCTACTTCAATTTATCTCTTTACTTATAATTACTTATTATTTTAAATCTACACTCGACTGCTCCAACATTCCGGCCCCGTTGAAGGCTTCCGGCACTTTAACATTTTCGTTGTTTCGGCTGCTAATTGGCAGCAACGCCAGTTTGTGAATTGCTCGCTTTATGACGCCTCCTTTGGTTTTTATTTCGACCACCCTCACTCGTTTGTCTTCGCCGAGTGATGTCGCCACGACGCGTTCTGTCAACCACCGTTGAGGGGGCAGATTGTCCTCGTGTACGAGGACCAAGCTGACGATTTCCAAATCGTTGCCCACTGTACACCACTTGCTGCGCTGCTGCAGGCTGGCCAGGTAGTCCTTGGGCCAGGTTTGCCAAAACTGCTGCTTGAATGCAGACAGCAATCGCCACCGCTTCAAATACTCGAAGTTGGCCTTTCTGCATACTCCGTCTGTGTTGGATTCTGGCGGCAGCGTAAGACAGAGCAGACCGTCTACTTAAAAGTTTTAGTGAAGCAATTCCGCGATGATTATGAAACGCTCATCGCTCTGAAGTGGTCATCATCAGCTGCGAGTCATTTGGCATTTTACTCCGCCTCAGTCGCCTAACTTTGGTGGGCAAGCACCACTTCAAGCGCGTGATCGCGGATCGGAACAGATTTTTGTTTGATTAATAGCTAAGGAGATTTTGAAAGCGCATAAATTCCTGCAGCGTTTGATGTATTGCTACCAAAGTGTTGGTTTAAGTGACCAGCATTGCTTCTATGCCATTAGGCAATTTTGTGTTTGCAGTCATATGTTGGCCATTCATTTCTGGACTCTGGTTCAGTGGCTCCTCAAGAGTGATCCTAGGGCGCAATATATATTGAAGCTTATAGATCTTAACTTTGTTTTTATTTAATACTAGTTCGACCCGGCGAACGTTGTTCAGCCTTAATGGCAATAAATAAGCAGATTGTTTTTTTTTCATTGGAAAAAAAAAAAATAAATAAAATTAAGTACCTACATTAATCATTCGTTATTATTTCTGTTTTAGTACATCGGTTACTCTTCACTTAAGTACCTTATGACCGCTTCGCTGCTCAACACAATTTAACAATATTAACTATTTTTTTTATATTTTTCAAATATATTGAAGTATAGAAAGATGGTGGTTTAACAGTTTTCCAGTTTGACCTTTCCACTTGCGCAGCACAATCCAGCCGTTTCTCTATTGAACTTTAACGCACTGCAATATCGGTATACAGTTCGCACGTCGTCCTTTAAGCATTTCGGGCTATGGACAGAGTGGTGAATTTATCCTCAAATGCACGATCCACATGATTTATACAGTTCAACTTACCACCTAAAAGACAAATGCCTTATGTTAAAATTGACTAAAAATTCTTTTTTTTTCACAATTTCATAGTGAACACAATACCAGTTTGTCACATGAAATTAACTGAGCAGCGAAAACTAAGGCTTGCATATAATGTGGAAAAGAATTATTTCACTTGGAAATGTTAAATGAAAACCACAAAAATTGAATTAAAAATTTTATGGTAGCGCGTATTTGTCAGTGTGATGAAGTAGTAACTCACTGTATATGCGATTTTGGTATTTCAAATTTCGGGACCAAGGCCATAAACAGATCCAAACTCAAGACTCCAAAGTCAAATCGGGAAAGTTCTTAGCCTTAACAGCAAAACACACTCAGTTAGAATAAACACACTCAAGCAAAGCTCGAAAGCTCCAAAACCGAGGTATGATCGTAAAAGAATACAGAGTTAGGAGTTGAGTTCAGTTTGAGACTTGCAAGTGATAGGTCGGTGTTCTTCCACTTAAGAATATTTGCAACCAGTTGAATATAAGAAATAAAGATAATTTTTTTTTATTGAAAACTTATGGTGCAAACATTTAATTATATAGATTAGAACAATATTTGATCATTTCCAGAGGCAACATGAGCACAAGTACCCATGCATACCCTAAGCGTCTTTTCACTAAAAATAATTCAGCTATTTACGATGTATTTTTAGGTTGATGATGATTGGTTGATGATGATGTTGAATTCTGTCCTCAATTTTTTTTCTTTTTTGGCATGTTATTTAAATTTATAATGACTTGAGTTGTACTGAATAATTCCACTAGAATAACAAAAACGGGCGTAACTTCGAAAACAAGTTAAAAACTACTTATTATTTTTAATTTTTCCTACACATAATTATTAAAAAATTACACTTTATCATTAACGTTTTAAGTTTATTTAATGTTTCGTATTAAAGTTTTGTAAATCTGTTTAATTTCAGAGAATCCGAAATACTACCAAGTTGGACACCTTTATCCCAGACTCGAATGAGTTCATAAAAATGAAAGAAGGAAATATTCGTCTGCTACTTAAAAATTTAAAACAATTTATAAGAAATAAAAATGTTTAAAATTATAATAAATATTATAATTCATCGATTTATAATTTCTTTTCATGAATGGACTTTTAAATGTTTATTATTATGTAGTTTATTACAATTTCAATCAGACGTTAGCAGTACAGTGTCTGTCGCAAAACTAGTCTTTTTTTAACAGAGTTGTCAAAAAGTGGTCCTTATTTCAACTGTCGCTTGCGGACACAAATGAAAACCAGACTGAAAAATTCGACTTAAAAGTTATTTAACATATTATATAGATAATTTTACAAATTTAACAACTAAAACCCCCCAATTATTTAAGTCACATACTGGACTTAGTAAATAAAAGAAGGAATTTAAAAACGGAAATATTCTCCTGCAGCACGAACGATTTGCAAAAAATATAAAAAGGACATTACGAGCCGCAAATTACAAACAGACATGGAGTGCCCAATGCCTGTCCCCCGACCCCTACAACATTACCAACGATCTGCTTATTACAACAACGACCAGCACAATTCAAGCTATCCCCTAGCTTGGTTGTTAACGAATAATTTTATCAAATTCGAATTAATTAATACGGGCAAATAAAAAGGAAACTGAGCCCACAAGAAGCTAAAAAAGTACACCAAGTACACCAAAAGTTACCAAGAAAGTTGAGACCACTGTAAAAAACAATTCGTTGACAAGGAATCAATTTCCTATTCTTAGCCACTCAAAAAAAGATGATGTTTCTACTCATACACCGAAGAATGATAAACAAGAATTTCGATCAGTGGCCAAACCGCTCGACAACGGAATAATAAATTGCAAAGGACTACAAGTAGTTATCAAAGAAATTGTAGCAGAACAGTCCCTATCTATAGGAATATAGCTGGACTTAATGAGAAGGGCTTTGATGTCAAAATGACTAAGCATATCTATCTATATAGAGTACTAGTAAACCCGGCGAACTCCGTTCCGCCACCAGATGGCGATAGTTTTATGTAAAATTTCGTTTGGTGTTTAAAAGATAAAGAAATTTTTTTTTTTTTTTATATATGAAAAGGAAAAATGTTATTTCGATACCATTAAAACTTTGGCCATTGCTGAGTGTTTTGCAATATTACACGTTGGTTCTTCAATAATTTGAAGATTTAACGGTAATTTTAATGCTGAATGAGCCGTTTGGCATCCTTCTAACAATATGGCTGCTATTCCCGAAGAAGCAACTGTAACAGCTATGTTGGATCTCGCCCGAACAGTTGCTAAAGCTAATGACATGAGGAATGTCTTGCCAGTTCTACCAGGGGCATCTAGGAAATATAAACCACCATTTTCTTCATCGATTGCCTTCATTAAAGTATCATAAACTTTCTCTTGGGAATTCAACAGGGGTACATTCGTTTGAACTAATAAATTTAATTCATGGTGATCATATTCACGTTCCCGTTCTAATTCACGATTAAATACCTTATTCATTTCACGATTTGGCGCTGACATTCTAACCTGATTAATAAATTACCGCACATGATGTAACACATATCTTCGATCAAGAGTAAAACCCGATTATGTACCTCCTCATTCATCTCAATGTCGTGATTTCTGCCCAGTATCGCGACGTTTGAGCACAATATCTCGGTTTCCAAATTGTTCACAATCAGGATGGCGACTTCGTCTATTAATGGAGCTTTAAATGTCCTTTCGTGTGTTCCAGATGGTCGTTTATCTGCTTTTATGACAACTTTATAGTCATCATTTAGCATGCGCTCTAAAGCACTCTTAAACAACCTAACCATCGCATGATGTTCATGAAGCAGACACTGCAAGTCTTGAAAAATAGCTCGCTTCATTCCTGTATTGATCCCTAGGCGTCGATCAAGTTGTTCTTCCATGTTGCCCATGAAATATATTTGTAAAAATTTTTTTGTGTATCTTCGAAAGGTAGTAATGATCCAATTCGATGGAGAATCTGCCCTTGTATCTAAGATAAAGTAAGTTATTCTTTAACTAAATTCTATGTAACACAGAAAAAAAAAACCTTAAATGTCGGATTAAATCCTCGTTCTTCGATAATATCTGCCCCAAATGACGTCATTTGGAAACAACCATTGTATTTTCGAGTATTTGCAGGAAAGTGGCGTGATTCTTGTGTTTCACTACAAAGCAATGGCTCAGGTGGCGGAGTCAACAATGGCTATTTCACTTTACCATTAAAGCAGCATAATCCAGGCGTGTTTCCATAAAACTTCAACGCACCGCAATACTTGCAAACAACGTCCATTTGCCCAATGCAAACGCTGGGATGCAAGCTGTAATCAGTGATGCAATCGTATTGAAACACTGCTCGATTCAAAACAGCACTTAATAAATATCTTTTGCGTCGCAAATTATCTATTTCTTGACCTCTGTTGTGAGCTCGACGATTCTGCATTGTCAACCGAGCCGTGTTACGGGTTGCCTCACTTTCTTCTTCTTATTGAGAAGCACGAAGTCGACCCATACTAACGCGGCGCTGTTCACGTCCAATGTTTTGTTCTCCTTCAGTCCTTTCATTTGCAGTATTTTGTAGACTCCTTGAATTACGGCTTTGAGGGGAAAGATTCGATCGTCTTGGTCGCGGCATTATTAATTAAACTTCACTTCACTTCAATTCACTAAAACCACGAAAAACTTCACTTCACTTCAATTCACCAAAATCACAAATAACTTCAATTCACTTCAAAAAAATTGAGTTAAAATGCTATGGTAGTGTGTGCTTGTCAGTGTGATGAGGTTATAACTCAGTTTATATGCGATTTTTTGTATGTTGAACGAAATAAAAAGTACCCTACGTCCTATTCCGGGCTCTAAGCTACCTTCCTACCAATTTTCAGCCAAATCTGTTCAGCCGTTCTTAAGTTATAAGTGGTTATATATATAGATACATAAAAGAAAGTCGTTGTAAAATCCGCAAGGTTTTTCACGGAATCGAAAACTCTATAAAACGGACTTGCGGTGTAGCAGCCTAGCTGGGGATTTCCCACGAAAAAGACGCAAAGACGAAATCGGTATAAATGCAATTTTTTGCGCGGGCGCAGCCATCAACGACGAGAGATTATGATCGACTGACTCACACAAGCAGTGCCAAATTCTTACGAGGTTACAACTTTCAATGCTTATAAGAGTAAGAGTAAGAGTAAACTACTTTACAAGCGAGACTTAAAGTACAAATAACTTCATATGACTTCTATGTTATCTACTTCAATTTATCTCTTTACTTATAATTACTTATTATTTTAAATCTACACTCGACTGCTCCAACATTCCGGCCCCGTTGAAGGCTTCCGGCACTTTAACATTTTCGTTGTTTCGGCTGCTAATTGGCAGCAACGCCAGTTTGTGAATTGCTCGCTTTATGACGCCTCCTTTGGTTTTTATTTCGACCACCCTCACTCGTTTGTCTTCGCCGAGTGATGTCGCCACGACGCGTTCTGTCAACCACCGTTGAGGGGGCAGATTGTCCTCGTGTACGAGGACCAAGCTGACGATTTCCAAATCGTTGCCCACTGTACACCACTTGCTGCGCTGCTGCAGGCTGGCCAGGTAGTCCTTGGGCCAGGTTTGCCAAAACTGCTGCTTGAGTGCAGACAGCAATCGCCACCGCTTCAAATACTCGAAGTTGGCCTTTCTGCATACTCCGTCTGTGTTGGATTCTGGCGGCAGCGTAAGACAGAGCAGACCGTCTACTTAAAAGTTTTAGTGAAGCAATTCCGCGATGATTATGAAACGCTCATCGCTCTGAAGTGGTCATCATCAGCTGCGAGTCATTTGGCATTTTACTCCGCCTCAGTCGCCTAACTTTGGTGGGCAAGCACCACTTCAAGCGCGTGATCGCGGATCGGAACAGATTTTTGTTTGATTAATAGCTAAGGAGATTTTGAAAGCGCATAAATTCCTGCAGCGTTTGCTGTATTGCTACCAAAGTGTTGGTTTAAGTGACCAGCATTACTTCTATGCCATTAGGCAATTTTGTGTTTGCAGTCATATGTTGGCCATTCATTTCTGGACTCTGGTTCAGTGGCTCCTCAAGAGTGATCCTAGGGCGCAATATATATTGAAGCTTATAGATCTTAACTTTGTTTTTATTTAATACTAGTTCGACCCGGCGAACGTTGTTCAGCCTTAATGGCAATAAATAAGCAGATTGTTTTTTTTCATTGGAAAAAAAAAAAATAAATAAAATTAAGTACCTACATTAATCATTCGTTATTATTTCTGTTTTAGTACATCGGTTACTCTTCACTTAAGTACCTTATGACCGCTTCGCTGCTCAACACAATTTAACAATATTATCTATTTTTTTTATATTTTTCAAATATATTGAAGTATAGAAAGATGGTGGTTTAACAGTTTTCCAGTTTGACCTTTCCACTTGCGCAGCACAATCCAGCCGTTTCTCTATTGAACTTTAACGCACTGCAATATCGGTATACAGTTCGCACGTCGTCCTTTAAGCATTTCGGGCTATGGACAGAGTGGTGAATTTATCCTCAAATGCACGATCCACATGATTTATACAGTTCAACTTACCACCTAAAAGACAAATGCCTGATGTTAAAATTGACTAAAAATTCTTTTTTTCACAATTTCATAGTGAACACAATACCAGTTTGTCACATGAAATTAACTGAGCAGCGAACACTAAGGCTTGCATAATATGTGGAAAAGAATTATTTCACTTGAAAATGTTAAATGAAAACCACAAAAATTGAATTAAAAATTTTATGGTAGCGCGTATTTGTCAGTGTGATGAAGTAGTAACTCACTGTATATGCGATTTTGGTTTATCGAACGGGATCTTCGATGTCCTTCTCCAGGCTGTAAGCTACCTCCTCCAAACGACTCCAACACCTGAAGACATCAGCGATCAGTGGGCGCTCATATCCCACTGCCTGCGAACTTCCGCAGAAGTCATTGGATTCCAGCGCCCCCCAACAAGGAATCCATGGTATGACCAGGAGGGTCGTGACGCAGCCTCCCGAAGAACACTGCAAGCTGGGGATACACGGGCTGTTGTTGAGGTCTACAGGTTAA